ATAGTTTTCCAAACACTTGAAGGAAATCACCCTCATTTCCAAAATTGAACGAGATTCCTACCTAAGGGAGGAAGAGCATTTTTTTCCCATACCCACAAGAAAAAAAATCCAAGCTTCAAAAATACACCAAATGTATTTTGTCAAAAAAAATTATGGAAAATCAATAGGCACAATAAGTATGTGCCAATTTATCCATTTCCAAAATTTGTTTCAAGATCAAGCCTCTACGGCCCTTGAAGAAAAATTTCATTTCTTTCAAGATCAAGCCTCTACGGCCCTTGAAGCAAACTTACATTTCATTCAAGATCAAGCCTTAACGGCCCTTGAAGAAATATTTCATTCAAGAAATATGCCTCAACGACCCTTGACGAAATCCATCACTTCAAATCAAGACCAAGCCTCAACGGCCCTTGAAGAAATATTTTCATTCAAGAAATACGCCTCTACAGCCCTTGAAGAAGAAAACTAATTCAAGATCAAGACTCGACGACCCTTGAGTTAGAACATTCATATTGCAGGACTTCAAAACACGTTTCCTACATGTGACAAGCACATGCCTAATGCGCCTTGAAGTGGGGGCATTTGTAGACATGTAAATTTCGTTGCATACAAATGATGCATCACAAAGCTCCACGTGGCATATAACTCATCACAAATAGACAAGTCATCAATGTGATGTGGGACAAATCAAGCCAAGGAAGAATTAAACCTCCCCAAAACTCGGCAAAAGGGGGAAGAAATCCTTTAAAATCGGCAAGGGGCCCAAATTGCTCCCAAAATTGGAAAGAAAGCTAAAGCATCTTCACAAAACAAGCAAGAATTGAAGATTACTCACAAAATAAGCAAGAAAGCCCTATAATTTGGCCAAGGTAAAGGAGAGTGGCTGAAATTAAGACACGAAACATGCCTAAATTCTCCCATGGACGAATCAAGACAGAAATCAAAGTCAAATCCATCCAAAGGAAATCTTTGAGAAGTCTATAAATACAAGGTCCCCAGACACAAATAGGGGTCGACAATTTCTACATTGAAGGTCAATAATTTCTACATTAATGGGCCGAAATTCTCATAAAATGAGAACCTCTGCTAAATCTTTGAAGACCAATACGCTGCCAAAGCTCTCTTCGAAGAATGTACAACCAAAGCCGAAGCATTCCCTTGAACAATCAACAAGCACTTGTGCCGATTCCCTCAAGACTTTGTTGCAAACTCAAAACTTGTAACGACGTTCAATTCTACATCAGCACTCCCTTTGCCGCAGCCCTAAACTTGAGGTGAAGACTATCCACACATTGTTTGAAGCTCCAAACTTGAAGCAATCGTTCAATCGTTCGTTCGAAATCAAGTCACCGCAACCCTTGGATCAATAACCTACGCATCTACATCAAATTTGAAGATTGAATCAAAGGAAAATTGTAAATAGAGATTGTAACCCTACAAATTCATCAATACAAATCTACTTTGTACACGTGTTCTCATTTCATTCGATATAGAATTTTTGTGTTTACAATGAGTTTTTGAATAGAGATCTACTAACACCATGGATGAAGGGGAGGTGATTAATCTTTAGTAATTTACTAATTTACACTTTTTAAGATTAATTTTATACCAAATATTGACAGAGTATAAATCAAATATCCTAATAAAAAAATCTACCAAGTACCAGATATATATGGTATACTGGTACTCCATTTCAGACAATATTTTCCCAAACAATGAAATCTGACTTCTTGTTGGGCTGTCATCAACATTTGATAAGCAACTTGTAATAATTAATCACATTATCAATTGATTAAAATAATAGGTATCTCCGTGTCCTCGGGGACATGCAATACGATTCGCATGGCTCTTCCGCAAGGATGGTCATGTACCTAAATCTAGAGTTAAATGTTAGCTGCATATGTTTAGGGGATCATTGAGAGTGGAACTTCCAGGGATTAGTTTTAGTGAAGAATGAGTCATTAGTAACAAAATTATTCCTCTTTGTACTATATATCTCATTAGAGTATCATAATTAGGACTTGGGAGGGATCCATGAATTTGAGATGCAATTTGTTGCCCAACTTTTTCCATCTACCAAAGTAGATACAACTTTATCACTCTTGATTATCATCGACTAATCTAGCTCATCTGCCAGCTCAACAAAGTTGTTAGAAAGACAGTTCGACAGTGATTCACTTGAGTCTGTTAAGTTCCTCAGCTTGTAAGAGAAGCTCCTTTGAGCTATAAATACTGTTGTATATCACAGTGTACCAATCAAGTAAATCTAATGCAAACAATCTATCAATTCCTCAACTTTCTTCTGTTGGAAATGTGCCCTAAAGCCAATCATATGATGATACTTTACGGACATTTCACATGTTAAACTAATCTAGTTTAAATATAAAGGGCAAATATTATTGTTTGAGCCGTCTCATATAAATGTTATATGCTTAAACGATAAAGTCCAAGGAATATGTGATTGGGAGAATGCAATCTAATGAAGTTAGATTCATGAGACCATTCTTTCGTAGACACATCCTAAATGTTCCTGATCATAGGATTGTCAATTGGGCATTGACAGTCCGTCAAGATCGGTACGTGCTATGTCTTCTCTCAGGGAGAGTGACTAGTCTCGAGTCATTGGTGTGTGTGACATCAAGACAAGTACGTAGATGCTCAGTAGAGAATGAGTTCACTGAACGCGATCAACGAAGAGTTCTCATACTCATGTCACATGAGAACTCATGGTTGGGATAATGCAAAGTAGTCCTTTGACCTGAGGCATCACAGTTGTCTTGTGGTTAAGTCCTTGATCTTTGATTATGTCAAACGTCATTCCATTGGAGTGTCCACGGCATCGTTGGGGTTAAGCCACTTAGCCATGGAGGCAAGTGAATGCGCAACAAGGGATCTCTAACCTTCAAACCGTTGGGGGAGAATACTCTATGATATGATTTAGAATCTCTGGCCAGAGTATGAATGAGATTTAGGAATGCGTTCCAAATCACATTCAAGGTAATCATATAAGCACACAAATCACATTGGATAGTAGACATGAATAAATAAACTATCAAACCAAACAATGTGGTCAAGAGTATTGTATTAGAGAAAGACCGTATTGCATTTGTAATCCCAAACTGAATAGGTTTTCTCTACCTCTTCTGATTAGCTTGGGTAACCATGATATGCTGCAAGGTGTCACTCATGGTTTGTGGAAGCCCTAAACGTGTGTAATCACTAAAGGGAGAATTGAAAGTAAGTTTCAATTCACAATCGATGTAAAATGGTTTTAATCGCCCACTGCCTCGCTAAAAGGAACCTAATGGATCGCACACCGTGTAAGGTGGAGATTGAAGAAACAATGGAGATGAGTAAGAATGATTAAATGGTTTAATCATTTATTTATGGCAATGATTAATTAATATGTTAATTAATCAAACGAATAAGTTCGTTAAAGACCTCGGGATAGTTTTGGACCTTAAGGCCCAATGGGCTTCGAACGTTAAGCCCATTATGATTCACAAAGGCCCAATTAGTCCAAAATATCCTAATGGCCGGCCATATTGTTTAGGGTAGTGAACTTGGACTTATTTACAAGTTTGCCACTCAAATGAATAAAGGTATAAATATGACTTTATAGCCAAAATTCATTAAGGGTTTTGTTTTGGAGAAAATTGGTGAGAACTTATCTCTCCATTTCTCTCTAAAGAGGCCGGCCACCTTGGGGGGTGCATCTTGCAATCACACTACTCCAAGGTCACTCATTTCTTCTCCAATCTCTCCTTGGTGAAAAGACTTAGAGGTTCTCAATTTTGGGAACTTGGAGAAACCTATTCTTCCATCCAAATCCATAGATTTAAGATGCAAGGAATGAAGGCCCTCTCTTTGGGTGATTAGCCTTTGCTTATGCAAAGAGGAATCTACAAAAGTATAAATTTCAACTCACTTTGTTTTGAGTTGATTCTTGGTTCACCAATCTACTAGGCTTTGAATTTCTTGGTTAATGTTTTGTTTTTAAGTGCATGCAAGCATGATTCCGCCTTTAATTGTTAATTGCATGCTTATTGATGTTGCTTAAATGAACATGTTTTCACAAAATATTCCTTCATCTTCTTCTCTCTAGCTTCTAGCTTTCTTCTGCAATACTGTATTTCTTCATTTTCTGCATTTGTGGAGTCCTATTATCATGTTACCAATCGCCGAAAATCAATTGGAATTTTCTTGTGTTGGCTTCCACTCAAGACTGTTCTTAGCCAATTTGTGTTTCTGGGATTTTGAAATCATGGCTTAATCAACTTTTAAAATTGAGGTTTAGTAACACTTCAAAATGATAATTTTGTTAAGTAGAGCTATCAGTTTCAATCTGTGACAGGGGATGTAATTTGTTTTATTTTTGTACTGTTGATTCTCCATGTCCACCCAAATTTGTCCTTAGCACAGAAATTGGTATTACAAGGGAAGTTACTTCTGCATATAAAGAATGGGTGAAAAAGGATTCGGCTTTACTCAAGCTTATTAATTGCTACACTCATAAATGATGCAATGGAAAATATATTTGGTTGTAAGACTTCTCGGGAAGCTTGGACCAGTTTACAAGAAAGACTTGATTCTGTTTCAATGGTTCATGTGACTGAGTTTCATACTGCACAGAAAAGTAGTGAATCTGTGGATAAGTTCTCGTTCAGATTGAAAGACATAATGGATCGGTTGGTCTTTGCTGGAGAAAAGATCATTGTAATGATCTCCTTATAGCAACGTTATCTGGTTTGTCTGCTGAATTTGAGTTGATCAAGACAGTAATTCTTACGAAGGACAAATCCATGTCTCTAAAAGATTTCAATGTTCAACTTCTTGTAGCAGAAGGGAATATTAAGCCAAGAATGCACTCAATGACAAGTTCCATGGCTGGAATGTTCAACTTCTTGTAGCAGAAGGTAATTCTTCCTATCTCTCCAGTGTCTAATCTCACTTCCGAATCTTCAACAATTAGTCTAGATTCATTACTAGTACATGCAATGATGACAAAGCATTGTTGGATCCTTACAATATTTGATCTTTACTAGGTCATATATTGCATTTACAGTGAATTCAGTTTGTCAATATATGACTACACCAACAGATGTTCATTTTGGTGCTATTAAAGGATCCTAAGATACCTTCAAAGAACAATGCAACGTGGCATTATGTATCTACAATATGATAACCTAATCTCAGAGACGCTGATTTGACTGCAGACCCAACACCAGAAGGTCAGTTACAGGGTCTCTGGTATTTCTTGGGAACAGTCCTCCTATCTCTTAGCAGTCTAAGAAATAATATTTGGTGTCCAAAGTTTTGACAGAAGCTTAATAAAAAGCTTTAGCCTACACTGCTACTAATATTGCTTGGGTGAGAAATTTTGAAAGATTTGAAGTTTGTTCTACCTCAACCACCCAACATTCATTGGGTGAGAAATTTTGAAAGATTCGGTATGCATATCCAAATTCCCCTGGTATGTGAAAAATTAATTAATGACAAGATACGATACTGTAATACAGGTATTTAAACACACATCATGTAGAAACCCAAATATCATTCTTCGGCTCTCAACAACTGAAATCATGATGTCAACATTTTTCTGATAGAAAGCATATATCTGAATATCGTTTAATTCATGAAAGGCATACGTACCAAGATATAAATCAACTTTTTCTAACCAGTTCTGAACAATTTTCTAATGTACTTGCATATATTTATGTATGTGTGTATGCATAAACGCATGAGAATAATATGTTAACTGACGAGTATATGTCAAATTCCAAACTGAGGTTGAAACCCATGGCGACTATGGGCAATTTGGCATCTATACGGGACATCTCATCTTCTACTAGAAAGTCGGTCCAAATATGAGGGCTAAGGGCTTCTATTTAAACCCAGCATTTGAGTTTCCTAACCTAGCATATTTTCCTTTCCCATATACTAGACGACAAATTTTCAAAAAGTAGAATACGGATTCATCAATATGATAACACATTATGTTATGAGCATGTTATTTTAAAATTAACAATATTATATATGGGCTCCTTGTTCACCCATCATGCTAAGATTTCCCATATATTACACAACTAATGCACAAGGAAGCTCTACCTGTTTCATCAGAGGTAAAATGCCCCCCCCCCCCCCCCCGGGCCTGGTTAGACTAAGTTCATTTGCTTCTTTGCTATATGGGTCCAAGATGACATATTGATGGTCACCATTAATATAGACAAGCAAAGCTTGTGGTCCGTTGCCATCTAAAATATTTTGCTGGAAGGAAATTTGGTCGCTGTTGAGAAAAGCAAGCCCCCCTCCCCTCCCTTAGCCTGCAATATAAGCATACAACAACAACAAAGCCTTTTCCCACAAAGTGGGGTCGGCTACAAACAACAACAACAACAACAACAAAGCCTGCAATATAAGCATAAAGGATTAAAATACAATTCATTCTTTTCTAATACTAGAGCTAAAATGTGCATCACAAAATGGTTTATTAGATTTTTCCTTATTTATTTTTATTTATTCTATTGGATTCTCTCCATATGATTATCTCGTCTGTTTTCCATGAGTTGATTAAATTACAGTTAGCCCAATGGATTCTAAAAGTAAAAAGAAAATGGGGATGGATTATATGAAGAAAGGCTAAAAAGCAGAGATTTTAAGTATAAACCTTCCTTACAGACCACATAGCCAATGGAACAGGATCTGCTGCATTGAATAATACGATTACCCATCTTTTCCTTGTAAAGATAGAACTGCAAATGATGATGAATCTACCGCACAGGTAACAGCCGAAAAAAAAATTAGAAATAGCAGATGTCAAATGAAGGTACAACACTAGAGACATGACTGTCACAATTATTAAATACAGGAACATTCAGCTTGTCGTCACCACACTATAAATGGGACACAATGTTCAATGTTATCAGTGCTGCTCTGAACACTTCAAGAGCTATAAACGTGCATGGCTGGTTTAATCTATTACTTAGTTCTTATCCTGGGAAACCACACAAGCTGATAGCTAGTAAAACACGGTTTCCAGAGAAGCAGTTATTGAGGGGCTTCCTCAGCCCTTAGGCGACGTTTGGTATGTGGAAAAGAAAGCTTGGGAATGGGAAAGTGGCTTTCCCATGTTTGAAATGTCCAGGCGTGGAAAATGATTTCCTATCCCATGGGAAAATTGGGGGGAAGTGAAGCCCTCAACCCCCCTTGGTATCCATTTCCCTTCTCCATGGGAAACATAAAAAATAAAAATAAAAATTAAAAAAAGAGCATTGATTGCTTTCTTTTGAAGACAATTATGTCCTCATTCACAATTAAAAATGCCCATTATATTCCAAATAAAGTGGCATTTCAACATTCTTTTTCATCGTTACCAAACATAGGAAAGGAAATTTAGACTTCCTTTCCCCCAGGAAAAGTCATGGGAAATCATTTCCCATTAATTTCTTTCCAAGTACCAAACGCAGCCTTAGTGTATGCGTTAAACTGAGTTGTACAACAGGACAAAGATAAAACTACATCACTTGAGTTGCATTTACCACACAAACAACATTGAAGTTATTAGGAAAACCTTAAGAGAAAAAAAGTACACATGACACAATTTAAAAAGTTCTTTGTGCACTGGGTGAGGAGGAGAAAGAGAAAGAGCTTCTGACCTTCTACGTGCAGCTTATATGACCAAGATTCGGAGAGTTCTGACATGCTCCACTCCGATAGTTGCGGTTTTGAACCTTGAGTGACAGACACGAGACACTCTGATTTCCCAGCAAATGACAGGGTCACAATTGGCTGAGGAAAAAATTATATGAGAGCAGGTTTGAATTACATTTCAATATCTTCCATCAACTCTATTGAGTGTACCAGCATCAAAATGACGTGGTAAGCATAATTAAAAAGGGTGTATATTCTGAAGATACTCCCTACTTCAGGCATTTGAAGATCACCCATACCCAAAAAAACTTACAACCGCCAATACCACAAAAAACTTACAACCACCATGCTCAAGATGTCTAGTTCTCAATTAAAGAAAGATCAGAACCCAGTGTAAAGATTTTAGAAGTAGAAAGGCCATGACTCAAATTTCTTTCACTCATTTGAAGACCATCCATACCCCAAAAACACTTAAGACAACCCATACCTGGACAACTTAAGACCACCATGCTAAACCAGGAGCAGCAAAGACGTCTGATATAATGATTTAGAACCCAGTATAAAGATTACAAGTAGAAAGGGCAAGCCACATTTTCCACACACTAATATAATGATTCAGATGAAATAACATATGTTTCTGATGAAAGATTAATCCAAAGATGATTGGGATCTGAAACAATCACAATCTGCATCTCTCCAATCACAGCTACAAGTGCATTGTTGTCGGGATCCCATAGTGTGATTACATTTTCGGCTGCAACTGCCAGAACAGAACCATCACCAGAAAATGCAGCAGCTGTCATTGGCTTATTCCTGAGAAGGAAATGAATATCCATAAGATACAGTTATCAAAGCAGTTCAGATATGTTACAAAGACAACCAAAAACCAAGAGTTTTGAACACCAGGTTATGTTATATGTGCAAAAGCATCTAAAATGTACATCATTCCTTTTTCCTTTTTACCCTGGTACTCTATCCCCTGCCCATTTTTCCATGAGTTGTATTCCGCACCTGAGGTGTCCACTTTTATATAGAAAACAAATTTTCATAAAAGAAAAATGGAGTGCGAAACAGATGACAAGGTTTCCTCTTGCCTATAAAAACAGTACTCTAAAACACTACAATATCAAAACCCTTATGGAAGTACACCAGAACAAGAAATTCACACAGCAGAGTTAGCTACTACAACTAACCAATATTCAGTTCGAGATATCATGATTGACATCCAACTCCAATCCAAAAAAATATATGTGTTTGTAAAACACAATAAAATCTTAATAATTCCCCAAAAATTTTGGCCATTCATGAATTAATAATCTCTTTATGTTAGTAAATTCTTTTTCAAGAAATGATGGATTTTTAACTCTCAGCAAGAATACAGTGACCACATCTACATGAAAGCTTTTCCTTCCTAGAAAGAGTAGGAACATACTTGTATGAACCTACAGCATGACACATCCAACCAGAATGTTGCAGAACCTCATGTTTCTGCAGAATCTCATCACTGCAAACCCAAATCTGAGACAGTGAAACAAAACGTAAACTTCATGGAAAACAGAATTCAGAAAAGCAAACATACAAATCATTCAGAAATTACCTTGAAATCCCCACAATAGGATGAGCTGGCAACCTTACGACGAGTAGGATGGCACAGGGAAGAAATTCTAGCATCCCTATACAACACAAAATATTAACAGTTACCTCGAGTCCGTATCATGGATACAAATGACAATGCTACTTAACTAACAAATATATTTATCATCATGACTTTGAAGCACATAAGATAAGAGACTTTAAATTAACAAGATACAAGTTTTTCCTCATTCTTAGCAAGTTCAGTAGCAGTCACTAATTTATCAGAAGCAGGGCTTGCAACTAGTATTATAGCAACATATAGACATCAAAATCCACAACAGATCAGTCAGGTCCATACTTTGAGGTTCATAAACAACAGTGGACAGGCTGAAACTTTTATTCTGTGACCCTGATGCCCCAAAATTTAAGACAAACAAGACCACCTAACCCCTCTTCAGGAAGCTTAACTTCAACTGTGCTCATCATAGAGCCATCTCCAGATAGAGACACCAAAGTCACTATTACCAGTGACCGCAATAACCCAAGATATGGTCAAATTATGGTCGTGTTTTAGAAGAATGAAAACAAAAAATCTCAAGCTAGAAACTAAAACGAGCAATTTACTCTGACTTCATCTCCTGGTTGATGATTTCTCTCCAGATTTGAACCTGCAAAATGTCCAACAACAACAACAACAACAAAAAAGCCTTTTCCCACTAAGTGGGGTCGGCTATATGAATCCTAGAACGCCATTGCGCTCGGTTTTGTGTCATGTCCTCCGTTAGATCCAAGTACTCCAAGTCTTTTCTTAGGGTCTCTTCCAAAGTTTTCCTAGGTCTTCCTCTACCCCTTCGGCCCCGAACCTCTGTTCCGTAGTCACATCTTCGAACCGGAGCGTCAGTAGGCCTTCTTTGCACATGTCCAAACCACCGTAACCGATTTTCTCTCATCTTTCCTTCAACTTCGGCTACTCCTACTACCTCGGATATCCTCATTCACAATCTTCTCCTTTCTCGTGTGCCCACACATCCCACGAAGCATCCTTATCTCCGCTACACCCATTTTGTGTACGTGTTGATGCTTTACCGCCCAACATTCTGTGCCATACAACATCGCTGGCCTTATTGCCGTCCTATAAAATTTTCCCTTGAGCTTCAGTGACCTACGACGATCACACAACACGCCGGATGCACTCTTACACTTCATCCATCCAGCTTGTATTCTATGGTTGAGATCTCCATCTAATTCTCCGCTCTCTTGCAAGATAGATCCTAGGTAGCGAAAACGGTCGCTTTTTGTGATCGTCGCTAGATTGTTCCGGTCATTAGTGTGGATCAGTATATAAATGGATAGAGATAGGAAAGCAAACACCAGATGTACGTGGTTCACCCATATTAGCTACGTCCACGAAATAGAGAAGTTCTCATTAATTGTGAAGGGTTTACACAAGTACATAGGTTCAAGCTCTCTTTTAGTGAGTACAAGTGAATGATTTAGTACAAATGACATTAGGAAATATTGTGGGAGAATGATCTCGTAATCACGAAACTTCTAAGTTTCGGAGTGTGGTATCGTCTTGACTTGCCTTATCTGTCTCGTAGGTAGATGTGGCATCTTCTCTGGAAGTACTCTTCCTCCATCTAGGGGTGGTATGTTTAACTGGTGGAGATGCACAAGGTAATGTATCAATTTCACTTGAAGCTTACTTGTAGTTTCGGGCTTGGTCAAGCGCGATACAAACCATGTAGTAGGAGTCCTCCAAGTCGCCGAGCTAGGGGATCTGCTGAAAGAGGTGACAGACAAGGTAAGCAATCAGAGCTCGAAGCAATCAGTCCCAGATCAGAACTTTGATTTCGAGTTCCGGCTGATTGTTCACATTCTCCCTATCTTGCAGGCAGCATGAAGGATAAAGAGAAGAAAAATGAGAAGAGATGATATGGGATACTTTTGCTTTTGAAGAAGTAACTTTCCACAGGCTTATTCTTGAACTGGGCTGGAGGGTTTTCTGGTTTCCTCCAGAGTATAAGGCCGACTGAAGAATTTGAGGGTCAAAACAAGTTCATCAAATCTATAGTACGTTCGACCCTGCTGATATGGGATATTTTTGCTTTTGACAGAGTAGTGGATGTATCGGCACGTGTGCTGTTACGCTTGTCTCCACATGCTTCCTTGTATCCTTCTCACTTGCCCTATATGTTCCTCAGGCAGATGCGGTATCTTCCCTGGAAGCATAAGATGTTGAAGATGAGTACTCGAGAGCAATGCCAGGTAAGTAATCAAGTAAGGGGTTCCAGGCAGTCAGTTCCTGACTGGAAGCTTGATTCCAAGTGCTGATTGATTGCTCTCTTTCTCCTTGTCTTGTAGGTAGGAACAAGGCCAAAGGAAAAGACAGGGAAAAAACATGATATGGGATACTCTTGCTTTTAACCCTGATGATATGAGATATTCTTGCTCTAGTATAGCTTGTTTGCAGAGGTACTATCGGGGGGAAAGAAAGCTTGATTCCAAATGCTATTCCTTTACCCTGCTTGGTCATAACACGGTAGTGGGAGCTGCCAGCTTCACATGTTTTAACTTTGTCAGAGCACTTTGAAAAAGTGGTCTATGGTATCTGGAAAGCTGATGTTGCGTGTAAAGATTACAGACAAGCTTTATCCAAGGAGATCCGGCTCTTGAAGTTGGGAAAGTGGTGCCTCTTCGGTTTTCGAACAAGCAATCCTGTCGAAGATCTGGCTCTCGAGATTCGGAGAACGATGCCTTTTCGATTTTTGAGAAAGCCATCCTACTAGGGGTCTGGCTCTCGAGATTCGGAGAGCGGTGTCTCTTCGATTTTTGAGAAAGTAATCATGTTGGGAGTCTGGCTCTCGAGATTCGGAGGGCGGTGCCTCTTCGATTTTGGAGCAAGCAATCTTGTTGGGAGTGTTTTCTCGAATGTGAGAAAAGGTTGGGCATGTTTGCTAGTCTATCTTGCCACGAAGCACAGAGGTTGACACACAGGGACTTTCCAATTATCTAGCAGTGGTACTGTTCCTTTACCCTTGTGGGTAATAATATAGTAGCTAGACCTTCAAAATTTATGTGTCTAAACTTTGTTAGTGCTGTTTCTTTGCTATTCTTTTACCTTTCTTGGTCAGAGCGGTGTAGTGGGAGTTACAAGCTTCACGTGTCTCAACTTTGTCAGAGAACTTTGGCAAAGTTATCTGTGGTACCCATGAGCTAATGTTGCGTGTGGGAAGTGGGTGATTGAACAGTAAGATTCATGTGCTTTCTACTTCACCAGAAATCTTCGACATAATGCCCATAATTTCCGCAAAGCTGACAGGTGCTGACAAGGCTGGAAAAGTAGGTGCCTCTTCGATTTCTGAGATCGGCCCTCGTGGTCTCTGAGCAGCCCAGCTTTTGAGAAAGCAAGCGCCTCTTCGATTTCTGAGATCGGCCTTCGTGGTCTTTGAGCAGCCCAACTTTTGAGAAAGCAAACGTCTCGTGGTCTCTGAGCAGCCCAGCTTTTGAGAAAGCAAACGCCTCTTCGATTTCTGAAACTCCGTCGAGTGCAGATTTTTATAGAGGCTGGCATTAAGTTCCAAAGCACACTTGAATCTCCACCAGTAGAAGCTCCATTCTTGCACTTCTAAGATCTTGATTTGTCCGACCTCTTCTCTCTTCAACACCTTTGAAAATGTCTGGCCCCTCCGACCGTCGTTTTGACTTGAACCTTGTTGAAGAGGCAGCCACGCCTTCTCCAGACAACATATGGCACCCATCCTTCGTCTCCCCTACTGGTCCTCTTACTGTTGGGGATTCCATGATGAAGAATGATATGACCGCTGCGGTAGTGGCCAGGAACCTTCTCACTCCCAAAGATAACAGACTACTTTCCAAACGGTCTGATGAGTTGGCTGTTAAGGATTCTCTGGCTCTCAGTGTTCAGTGTGCAGGTTCTGTGTCTAACATGGCCCAACGCCTATTTGCTCGAACCCGCCAAGTTGAATCATTGGCGGCTGAAGTGATGAGTCTCAAACAGGAGATTAGAGGGCTCAAGCATGAGAATAAACAGTTGCACCGGCTCGCACATGACTATGCTACAAACATGAAGAGGAAACTTGACCAGATGAAGGAATCTGATGGTCGGGTTTTACTTGATCATCAGAGATTTGTGGGTTTGTTCCAAAGGCATTTATTGCCTTCGTCTTCAGGGGCTGTACCGCGTAATGAAGCTCCAAATGATCAACCTCTGCTGCCTCCTCCTTCTAGGGTTCTGTCCAGTACTGAGTCTCCAAATGATCCCCCTCCAGTGCCTGCTCTTTCTGGGGCTCTACCGACTGCTGAGACTTCTCCTAAGCAACCTTTGTGAAGGCTCCCTCTTGTTTGTTTATTTTGACTCATGTATATGTACATATTTGTGACTTATCGGGGATATCAATAAATAGCTTTCCTTCATTTCAACGTATTGTGTTGAATACACCAAAGCCTTCTTCGCTAAGTTCTCTGAATTTTCTTTTGTTGAAGCTTGTATGTTGAAGCTTTGTGAGTGGAGCATGTAGGTTGAGGTAGTATTCCCTTAATTTCCCGAGTGAGGAAAACTTCTTGGTTGGAGACTTGGAAAATCCAAGTTACTGAGTGGGATCGGCTATATGAATCTTTGAACGCCATATCATAACTTATAATATCTCTGTCTCTCTCTCTCAAAAAACAACGCTTGCCGTAGAAAGTTCAACATCGGATTATCCATTGAAATATCAATTAAACAACAAACACATCTTCACCTCAGACATTTCACGGTCATCAAACAAGCTGTAGAACTGGATTCGATAATTCTCTGTACACAAAGCAACCAACCCATCAGTGTGATCAAAGGCAAACTTGCCTGCATATTCCGTCGTATATCTCTGGACCTGAATAAGGAAGCTGAAAAGTAGAGATAGCTATTTAGAAGCCAAAACTATTTTATTCCTCACAAAAAGCCGCCAAAACAACAAAGACATATAGTACACAAAGGTGAAGGAATCTGAAGGAATCTATCAAACTGAGCATGTATCCTGGTACATTCATGAAAGAAAGAAAAAAAGTAGCTTAAAAACGCCAGCTCACTTTATCTCACACAAGCACAAATTTGCTTTCACCCTGCATCCAAGGTTAAAGAAATTTACGGCCCGTCACAAGGTAATTATAAGAAGAAATTTCATCATGGATATTCACCCCCGGCAAAGGTATGGTGACTTAATGATGTCGTTTTTGCATGCTTATGCAACAAACCACAGGGCCCAGACTCTTGTTACCAATTCCAAAGGTTCTTAAAGAGAAAATATTGAGTAGGATTTCATCACTTGGCTCACAACAAAAGGTACAGTCTACTCTGATTTGTTTTAGAGGAAACTTGACTCTGATTTATTTGCACGTTGTTTGCCTCCAAAATTGAGGACTACTCCACAAGCTTTTGTTATTCTTAGTAGCATTCTATATGCAACTTACGTGTGGCTACCTAATGATGTGCACTGTCAATAATGTAACCTACTAATCTGTGGTTCCTATAAGACAATATAACGTGTCTTCTAATCATTATTACCTCAATAGTCAATAACACACAATAGCATCGCCTTGAAAGGAAGCCTCTTATGTATTCTATAAAAACAAACTGAGAATTTTCAAATACCTTGATCCCTGAAATAGACTTCAAGATTTCCATTGAGGGCATTTTTAGTATATGAATTTGATTATCTGCACAAGATATCTACAATCCATATATCAGTGAACAGTAGAATACATTAGTTCTTTATCACAGAGAATGCATTACTATGCTACGATACTCCATCCCAATAAATTGGATGTTTTCTTACAGAAGAAAGTGAAGGGTCTGGAGAATCAGTCAAATATCGAAGAGGAGATCCAATTTTGGGCAAGAACTTGCAAAAACTTCTTTTTCCCTGTGTCTAGCTGCCAGACCACAAAAACTCCTTCCATTCCACCTGGATAAGATAGAAGTGTCATAAATATGTCACTTTAAAGCAATGTATTAAAAGCGTGAGGTGTGGGCGTGGCATCCGAGGGATAACCCAGCCTAGGCGTGAGGCATGAGGCGAAGCCTCACAAGACCTAAATTTTTTAATATATACACTGACAGTAAACATATATTACATTAAAAAAAAAAAATTATTAATCAATAATCACCCTGAGCACACACATGTATTATAAATACACACACACACATATATATACATATATTATATTATATATAAAATAGAGGATGAAAAGCACAATGAGCACACATATAACCATGCATGCAGACAGCACACACATCCATTATATAAAAAAAATAAAAATAAAAATAAAAGGCAGAGAGATGATAGTGCAAGGAAGAGGTATGAGGCAATTAAAACCCACCCAAAATTTAGGTTTGGGAGTAAGAAAAAAAAAATATCCTCTGAGGCGAGCCTTTTAAAACATTGCTTTAAAGTAAGAAATCCATGACAAAACAAGGCATAATCCAGGGCGAGTTTCACCTGAATTCGCTCAAAACCCACATACCTAAATATAAATAGGCACCGTCAGAAGAGAAAGAAAGAACACTTATTCCAGCACCATGCCAATGCCATGTGGAGGAAGCATGAGCATTGTCATCTCCCCTAACTCCATCCCTTTCATCCTCATTATTCATTGATCTTCCTTTCATTAGTTTGCCACCATCAGAAAATATACCTTTACCAAATCCTGTCCAGATTAGAATTCTCCCACTTGTATCATCCGCGGCAACAATTGTCTGAGTTGGATGAAATGCAAGAACGTTAAAGTTTCTTGTATGATGCAGAGTAATATTCTTAGAAATCATGAGTTTCGAGTCTATAGCAGGGACTCTCCATATATGAAGCTTCCGCTTGTACCGGATGCCGAAGAATTTTCCTGAGGGACTGATAGTTATAGCCTCTGGTTTTCGAGTCTGTCAAATTCAAACCCATTGTGAGTTTTTCATGCCTCTTAAATTGCAATACGAGAAAAAATATTGGAATTAAATAACAATAGTTACCGTGGGGGTGGGGGTTCCAATTCCTTTCATATAGATTCAGATGTCCAACAAATTTAATGTAGTTAAGTAAAAGCTATTCCTATACAAGATACTGATAAAGGACTCAAGAATGAATGGATTATCTTCATCTATCTCTTAAAGGAAATTTCATCTCAAAAAAGTTAAATGAATTCCTGAGAGGGAATTAAATAATTCTTTCAGTCTTGGATAATATAAAGGAAATTGGTCACAACAAATATTAGCTCTTAAATCAGTATATTATAGAAAAGTTCACACAGACACATGTTTGCATCAATGTTATGGACTTCGACTGTTATATCCTTCAAGTTCTGATCATGAGTAACAATACACCAGCATCAAATAGGGTGTGAGAACATTACTACATTGGCAGGCAATACATAACAACACATGATAGCACATACCTATCAACCTATAAGAAAAGCACTAAACACGTAAATGTAACTTTTTATGCAATAAATCATATCATAGCACTTCTCTTTTGTTCCCTTCATAAATTCATTTCCATGCATACCGGAACAACCTGAAAATCATTTTCTTGTGTTCCTTCACAGGTTGACCCATTGTAGACGGAACAACCTGAAAATCAAAACCAAATAGCGTCACGCCGTCAAAAAATTTCTCCACTCCAAACACAAAATTAAAGAAACTAGAATAAAACAGCAAAGCTATCTACCATAGAGAAAATGGGCATTTTAATATCAATGGTCTTCATCAACTCAGCGACTGCAAAGTCCCAATAGCGAATGGTGCCGTCAACAGAGGCGGTCCAGCAGAAGCTCAGAGCTTTGTTGCCGGGAACTACTATGACGGAGGTGACCGATGCATTGTGACCCTCCAAGGACGATATCTAATTACAAGAAAGAAATAAACAAAAAAATCGAATATTGTCAGGCAGGAGGGGGTATGGGAGTGTAAATTGAGGAGGAAAAGGAGGGTAAAGTTGGAAAACCTGCAAACCAGTGGAGGTGGTAAATATGGAGACGGCGGTGCCTGTGCAGACAAGGAGGCGCTTGGCGTCGGTGGCGAAGGCCGGACGTGCTGACACGTAGCTCTTGCCGCCCCTAAGCATCTCTGTCTCTCTGCAACGGCTGAGCAACCCCTTTCGTGGCCGCCGGAGGGTTTTGGGGTTTTGGGTTTAAGCGAGTAAGCCTCACTGGACTAGACTGGCTTAGCTAAGAATATTAATCCGTGTTTGGCGCAAGCCAGGGCTGAGTTTAATTGGACTAGCTAGGACTCGTTCCGACTAAACTCTTCACTAGCTGGGCTTAGCGAGGCCGGGCAAAAAAAGATGGGATTGCTAAGACCAGTGCTTCGCATCATCATCGTGCTGAGGCTTCGACTTCCTCAGTCGTCTTCCACTCATCGATTTGCAGAGATCAATAGAAATCAATTTGCAAATCCGACGATCCAAGCCTCTGCAAATTGAAAAAGAAAAACAAGGGTATGACCTGAAGAGAAAGTAAATTAATAGAAGAGAAATATGGGCTTTAGTTGAAGAGAAAGCAAAGGAAAAGAAGAGAAAGTTTATGGGTTTGATTATTAGTGGGAGAAAATCTGGGCTTGTGAAGAACAGAACGCAAACCAGAGAAGAAAAGTAGAGGGACTTGGGGGGTGAGAGTCAAATACAAAAAGTGTGCATTAATAATAATAAAATATTAAAAAATGAATTAAGACAAAAAAAGTATTTTAACTCTAAAATAATTTAATCTGTAATTTAATCTCACATTGCATCAAATGCTTCATTATCTTTATTCTACTTAGTTCATGCTAAGTCAATCTAACTAAGTTCTGAAGTTAATTCGGTCTAAAATAGTCTAATGCAATAAACGTACCCTAAACTTAGAATTTGGATAAAAGTCAGAATTTGTAAATTGACATGCATGAATTCTCTCATAAACACAGAAATTTAGAATTTCCGCGTGGAAAAAAACTTGGAATTTGGGATCTCCAATTCCCAAGTTTTAATTTCATGTACATAGGTGTCATTTCCCAATTTCTATGATTGAGAGCTTAAAAATAACAAATTCCGTATTCAATTCCATTGTTCTTTTAGTAACCAAACAAAAATATTCACAAATTCTAGAAAATAAAATCTCGTCAATTCAATTTCCGTCATTTTAAAATTTCTTGATAATGTTAAATTTCTTCATTTAAACATAATGTAAGAGTTTAAGGTGGCTACTAAAAAAAACAAAACCAAAAGGAAATACAAGAGCCCTCGACTTGGGCATCCCTACAAATTTTTGTTCTTTTATCAAATTTTCAGTGTTATACTTGTGGGCCCGTCGGCTAAGGCCTAATGCTTAAGAGCAACTCCAGCCTTGCTGGTTGCTCGGGGGACAGTGGAGAGGAAAGGGCCCGAGGCCCTGTGGACTGAGCTCCAGCCGTGTGGAGCCCGAGCGACGGTGGGAGCCTGAGCGAAGGGGGGGTGGGGAGTCGACGGGCCTGTGGCCCGAGGGCTTTGCAATTTTTTTATTTTTTATTTTGTGTCAGAGAGAGAGAGAGAGGGGGACCGGAGATTTGTTTTGTGTCAGAGAGAGAGAGAGAAAGGGGGGGACCGGAGCTGGGCTTCCATGGGTGCGGAAGGGAAGTGGGTCGTCGCGGGGGGGGGGGGGGGAGGGTGGGTCGTCGCGGGAGGGGGGAGGGGAGGGGGGTGGAGGTGGGGTCGTCGCGGCGGGGGGGGAGGTAGCTGGGTTCTGGTTTTTGCAGGGGTTTTTTTTTTTTTTTTAATTTTTTTTTAATTGGATTAATATTATAATATTTTTAATGTATAAAAAATTATTTATTTTTACCAAAGATTTTGAAAAGATAACGACACATGACACGATAACATTGGATAAAAATCTTATCGAAATCATTCGCTAAATAATTGTTTTTTTGAATAAAATGACACGTGACGCAACGAGAACGATTTAAGAATTCTTATCCGAAATTACAAATAATTTTATTTTGTATTATTTAAACAAACAAAAAAAACTATTATTTTAATTGTCTATTGCCAGGGGGGAGGGCTCCAAGGGTGGAGATGCAAATGGCAATTACTGTTCATTTATGGCAGTTACTATTCATTAAAGGCAGTTATTGTTCAAAATGGTGGATTCAATAGTGGATTGCCAGGGGGAGGGCTCCATGGGTGGAGTTGCTCTAATGTTCTTTGTTAATGGGCGGTTCCGCGCCACCTGGCGGCCTGTCATAATACAAAGATGTGTTAGCATTTTTTTACATGTTTTTATATTATTGAACAAAATACCATCGTGTCTGTAATCTCGTGTCATACAATTTGTTTTTCTAAAGGAGATACGAATCCATTAGTTACTTTGAACCATTAATGCTGCAAGTTTAGAAACCTCTCAGCACACATAAGCAAAATGATTGGCTATAACCCTGTTGAGGGATGATGATCGTGCGAGGTAGGCCTTTCAAAAAGAACTAAAAACAGTCCTTGATTCATCCCGTCCAATCTATTAATAAGTGTTCGGGCAATTGGGCAAAGAAATTAAAGAAAATTAATGAAAAATTTATGAAAATTTTGAATTTTAATGATAAGGATAAAATAAAAGGTAAAGTGAGCAACATCAAGATTAATTTTTTAGTATAAAAATGTGGTTTTTCGTTAAAGTGAGCAGTACTAAGAGCTTTTCGTTAAAGTTCTCAAGAAATTATTACCTTAGTGAATAGTAATTGAGTGCATCTCTATCCCGCAAAAGATAATTTTTTATAAAAAAAAATTAACAAAAAGATAAATTTTTGTTTAATTTCAAATAAAAATTTTAACCAACCCTGTCATGCTTCGTGTCATAATCTATAATTAATATGAATTGTTGGATTACATTTTTTTTGTAATCCAACAACTCATATTGTGCCATGTGGGCCAAAAGGGTAATAGCTTTTTTTTTTTTTGGATTCTTCCTTTTTAAAATTTTTTTTAATAGAAAAATTTGGACCGTAGGATAGAAACTTAGTGCAAATCGAACGGTTGAGGGTTGGACCCTAATGCTGCAGGTTTGGACAACTAACTCGCACTTCACGAGCGTGTGAAGCGCACACGCCTGGTACAAAAAAATATAACGTGAATGACGTCATACTCCATCAGCACTACTACAAAATCGTCTTATAGTGTCAATAGGTGGTGTCGCTTTAATTTAATATGGTGGCGGATTAGATAGTTGCGTACTAACTGAATATGACGTCGGATTTTTAAATAATGGTGTCGCTTTTAAACCGACGTCAACACACATTTAAATATTTTTAAATAAAGGTGTCGCTTTTAAACCGACATCAACACACATTTAAATATTTTTAAATAATGGTGTCGCTTTTAAACCGACGTCAACATACATTTTAATATTTTTAAACACTGGTGTCGCTTTTAAGCGACATAAAGTAGAAGAGCTTTTCAATTATTGTTGCAGAAGCTTCCTTATTTCGACGCACATGAGGCTAACGTCGGTTTAAACCGACGCAAATTTGGCCTTATTTCGACGCCACGCAAACTTGTCCTTATTTTTTTAAATATTTTAAAACATGCGTCGGTTCTGAGCGACATAGATTTTAGTTTTTTTAAATATTTTAAAATCCGGTGTCGGTTGTAAGCGACAGAATAATTGTCTATATATACTTTCCCCCATGTTCTCTTCTTCCTCTCTTGCATTTTCCTTGTTCGTTCTTCCAATTTCAAACCATCCAGTGTTCTCTCTTGCTACTTTCTTATTTGTTCTTCAACCCTCCTGTGTTCTCTCTTGCTACTTTCTTATTTGTTCTTCAACCCTCCCGTGTTCTCTCTTGCACCTTTTTTATTTGTTCTTCTAACTTCATGTGTTCCTTCTTCACAACAGTAAGTTTTCTTACTTCTAATATTTTTATTTTCTCCACTTACGTTTAATTTTTATTTACAATTTATTTTTGTAGGGAATTTATTTGAGCTAGTTGAGTACATAAAGATTTGATCGACGACAGAATTCTTCCATAATTCAGGTTTCTATCATTAAATTCTTTAATTTTTATATTGTATAATACACAAGTTTATTTATTTAAAAGTTCTAATTTAAGTACTTAGATAAATTTATACTATTTTTGTTAAATTAATAAATATTTAGTCAAATTAATTAATTTTGTCACTTGAATTGTTATGAGAAGAAGAAAAAGAATAATATTTATAAGCTTTTATGTGAAATTGACATATTAAATATAACATAAAGTTATAATATTTAGTAATATAAGAATATATTATGTTAAATTAATTTGTCTTGCACTCTAATTGTTATTTTAATTTGTTTTTGTTGTTATTTTGATAACTTTGATAACTTTTGGTTGTTGTTTACTAGAATGGATTAGATGAGCATAATTTTGATAACTTTTTGTTGTTATTTTAATTTGTTATTACTATAATAGGTGTTGAAAATTAAAAGATTGCAATCGTGATACAGTTCGAGGGTTGAAAGATAGAAATTGAAAATTCTAATAGTTATGCCTACAGGGATTGAAAGATTGTAGGCATCTTAGTGTCAATGTAATATTTTGCCCTCGAAAAGCGGTAAAACATGGACAGGAGTTGGTTGACGATAGCTCGAAATTTGGAAGCTTATACAGCTGGAATTAATTTGTTTTTGGACCAAGCAGTTGCAAATGGTGTTGGCCCTGATAAGTTTAGATGTCCTTGCAAAAGATGTTGTAATCGATATACTTTTGTTAGGAACACTGTTGTTGAACATCTCATATTGTATGATATGGATAAAGATTATAAAAACGCTTGGTGGCGACATCATGGTGAGAAAAACATTGGAGAGCAAATGTGGCAATCGAAGAAGAAGAAACAGGAGATGAGGTGGCTGGTATGCATGATTTTCTTAATGATGTATTTGTCCAACCATTAACAGAAGAAGGTGTTGGGCTGTCTACTGAACCCCCTATTGGGGAAAGGCGTCCAGAAGAGGTGAGACTTTTTTTAGGTTGCTTGAAGAGGCAGATCAAGATTTGTGGCCAAGATGTAAAGAGTTTAAGAAATTGGAAGCAATTGTAAGACTGTATCAGATCAAGTGTTTAGCAGGAATGCCAGACGAGATCTTTACCACTTTGCTAGAGTTAATTAAAAGAATGTTGCCTGAAGGGGATTGTTTGCCTGATTCCTGTTATAAGGCAAAAAAACTTATAAATGACTTGGTTCTGACGTATGTGAAAATTGATGCATGTCCCAATGATTGCATGATCTATTGGAAAGATACTTCGGAGTTGACCGTGTGCTCGGTTTGTGGTGAATCAAGATATAAAATTACCAATGCAGATGATAGCTCAAGAAAAAATATCGCAGCTAAGGTTATGTGGTATTTTCCTTTAAAACCATGATTGCAACGATTTTTTATGTCGAAGCATACTGCTGAACATATGAGGTGACACGCAACTGAATGTCATAAGGATGAGTTTATGAGGCATCCTTCAGATTCTCCAGCATGGAAGCATTTGGATAATTTATATCCGGATTTTGCGTCAGAAATTCGAAATGTCAGATTAGGGTTAGCCAGTGATGGATTTAATCTTTTTGGGAAAATGAGGCATGATCATAGCACATGGCCTGTGGTGCTTTGTTTACAATTTACCGCCCTGGATGTGCATGAAACAACCAAATT